AGGCAGCTCAACTGAAACCATGGCGTTGAAGCGACCTAAATAGAGACGTCCTAATTATTATGGGAGATTGCAAAATAAAATGGTAGTCATCTCCAGCAGACTTATGAGACAAACCTCTTTTGCTCTATATGACTTCCTTGTCAAGTCATATTTGTAAAACAAAGAATAACGTATAATATGTAAATAAAGGATGATGGTACTTTTCATATAGCGTACAGGTAGTCCTTGTTCCAGAGACATACATAGCCACTTTTTGACAGCCTCACCCAGGCGGATAATCTAGTTGTGTCTTATCAGGGCCGAGTTGTTCGAAGTCTCTTAACTCGAATCCTGGGTCAGCTGAAAAACGGCTGAAAAATCCAGCTGTTTAAAAGGTGCATAAAGCGATCCGATTGATATATCTCTATCAAGTGAATAACGCAATTGGATAGTGATTTATCCGGTGGATTGCGCAAAGTAATGTTTGAACAAGCGGGGCCTCAACTATGAGTTGTCCAAGTAACTAACCGGGGATTAGTGCTACTCGGCCTTTAGACAGCTATAGACTTAGCTCCGTAAGTGACAAATGTGGCCAAAAAGACGCCTGGAGGAATCCTTGACAAAGCAGGAGTGCAGATGCCAGGCGCCAAACGTTTGCACTTACACTCACTTCCAAAAAGGATTTGCACTTGCAATAAATGAAGTCCTTGTAACGTAGCCGGTGAGGCCACAATCTAGCCAATAAATTATAGCTTCTCTTTATCGGAAGCAGTCTCAGTTAGTTAATTGTGAGACGCAGAGGCTCCAAAAAACACTTACCAGTAGGAGAGGAAGTTTGATCTTGTTATCGCCAACAATACTGGCTGACTTCATCTTACAGTAACATACAAGGACACTGGCAAACTGTGTAACTATACTGTATCGCACACGAGTATGAGAACAGTTAAATCGCTGTGTGTATTCCCTTTCACACATACGACACAACCAACATTGACCCAGCTCGTATGCTTTGTTGCATCGTCACGGTTTGGACACGCTACAACACGACGCAAGAGTAAGTACTCGCATGGAGTAATGAAACAATTTTTATCCTCTTGTGGTGTTGCTTGAGCTTGCGTCCTTGTGTCACACACGTAAACCGGAAAGGATCCGGTATAAACATAAGCAAAAAAAGCCATTGCGCTCGTCTCGTTGGACTGATACTGTGGATTCTTTGGCGCAAACAAGTGCCAACTTTTTATACATCCGCCCCTACGTATGGCAGTGACGTGCGTATTATACACGAAAACAGCTTTGCGTACCTGCTTGTAGTGGAAACTACAGTGCTCCTCTCCCAGAAAAACATGATACAAAACATGATAAACATTCAAATGAATAGAGTCAGTACAGAATGAGCATGGGGGGTGGGGTTGCCGTTTTGACGGATCCAGATAATGCTTGAAACGAAAAGAAGTAAGGAGATTTAGGGTAAGAAAAGATCTGACACAGTAAAAACGTACGTGCATCAACTGCAGATATTAAATAGAGAACCGGCCAGTCGTGCCAGGTTTTAATTTTAAAAAACATTGCCAGATCAGTCACATTTCTTCCAGACTCTTAATGCCGTTATCAGAGGTTTAACATCAGTGCACTGACCCTCTAGCTCCAACTGTGATTATTACACAGGCGCAAAGCTGGTAGCGCGGATGGAGCGATTCTGCCCATTCAACTTGGGAGACCAGCCACGGATCGGGAAGAGGCGTATTCGAGTATTAGGTAAACAAGGCATATTATAAGGTTGGCCAGTTCAGTACAGCAGATCCGTCGTGATTAGAATTGCAAGATGTGAGGTTTCGTTTGTCAATAACAAAGACTACCTGCTTGATCTCTCACGGTCAAATCGTGTATTCTGATTGAATTCCATTTTACGTCTCCCTCCATGGCCGTACCACAAGGGTGCACAAGAGTCATGAATTTGGCGCCTTGGAGTAACAAAAGTGCTGTAACATTTAGCAGGAGCAAATTGCATTCTCCGGAATTAGAGGCTTTTTGAGCAAGTCTCGCTGGAAGATTTCACGGTTAGCCCTAGTTAAGCCATTAGAAGAGGGTATAGTCATCCATGGGCGAACAACTTGGCACTTTCAGGTAAATGACATATCCATTCCTGGTAAGTTTCAGAGCCCTTCCAAGAAACACCTGGTTTCAGTATGCAGCGGAGCGATCTGTTACATTACCTCCGGTACTGCCGGGGATACTGTTCCGACACACGAGAACATGCATCGCTGACACCAAGATACATGGCAAGCTTTTATATTTACCATGGGTTTATATCGGAACAATATTACAGATGGGTCGGCGGCATATTTGTGCCAATGATGAGGTATGTAAGAACGTAACATGAACAAGGTATGAAGGTTTCCTGTAGTCCGATACTACTCTTGGCCTTGAGTACGAACCGTGGGTCCCGATGGCATGTACACCTCTCTCGGGTGAGAGGCACACATAAATGGTAGTCATTTAATGGGTCTTGTGCAGTCAACCAACTGTCAGGAAAACCGGACAGAGCATTTGCTGTAACAAATGAACTCATCTTTAGGGTTTTTCTGGCTACGTACAAAAGATGATTTAAGAATTAGCAAAGTCTTCTCATTGAAATCAGACTCCTGACAGTCACTTAATTTTTAGTCAGTCGATTTGGGAAAGCAGGGTGAACATGATTGGTGCCCAAAGCGGAGAGGTCAAAGGAACGGAGCAGTGATTTCGGCCCCGTTTCCTACGTTCGCTCGTAGTACGCTCGGCGTCAATGGGCATAGAAGATTGCGTGACGAATGTGTGAAGAAGACTAGGATAGCAACGTTGAATGCACTACATTCCTTCGGAACAAACATATCAAATTAAGACTTCTAAGGACACGAGCATATATTTGCGGCTTTGTCGAACTTTGTAATCTCCTATACTTGTCTCTGACCATCCACTCTTCCGACAGAGAATTCATTCTCTGATAGAACACGCATCAGTGAAGATACGGGATTAGTGCACGTTGTTTTTTATCCTATCGCTCACGTGCTTAGGTATTTTGATAAATTAACTTTACTTGATCCAACCGATCCACCAGGAAGATGAAGAAATACTGCACCCATCGACTGTGGGAGCTTAAACAAGACCATAGAGACCTTATGATACACCATTTCCTTTTACATGCACGGCGGAACAGGTAAATTTCCCATACCCGTCGCTATAAGTACTGGTAGATTGCCTCTTCCCCCGGAGAAAAGGCTGGCTACCGGGTAGAACGCTAGTGTCGTTATCCCATCTAGGAAATCATGGTTGCTTTTTTTGTAACTGTGTGGCCGACATATTTGTGTACTCGTACCCGTAGGGTACGTAAGGTCCCTCATGCCTAGAACCCTTGCACCCATGTTTTGGTCAATGGTCAACACCGCTCCAATGTTGATTTCAGTAAAGATAAGATAGCTCGCGTGGCCATGGGGTTTCTGACTGACGCCTAGGTTTCTCCGGTTGTTGCGTAGACAAGCTTCTGACAAGCACTCGTGTCCAGCGTTTTTATATAGAACTACTGTGAATGCAATCCTTACAGACCTTTTGGGCGCTCGTTTGCCTTTCTTCTCATTGATCGAGCCGATATGATGGAGATGGCGTTTTGTCATCTTGTATACCATGCATCCTAGAAAACGTCCCTCGGGTAGAGGTCCAATAATTATCGCCTGACTGTTATCCTGGATCGAATTCATCTCAGGGAAAACGAATGCGCACTGGAAGACTCTTTGATGCTGGAAGACGTTTCTAGATGATTCAGCGGTGAATACGGGACCCTGTGGGAGCAAAAATGACAGCATCGTGATTAAAGAGGCCGCTAATCGGAAGAAATCAAGAGAAAATGTTTTTGATAAAGCAGAACGGGTTGGAAATTCCACAAGTGATGTCAATTTACTCTTTATTGTCGATTGTCGCTGGAGGGTGCTGAAATGTAGCTGAATGTCGCAGGACAAATCGGCGGATAACCAATCGATCCCTTGACCAAACGTTAAAAAATGCCCTCTCCGAATAAGATGGGCAAAGCGAACCTGACTGTGAGAGGCTTGCTATGAAGCGCACCCTGAGATCTTGTGGGATAAAGTGGTTGGTGTTACGAATAGCACATGATAGATGTCCATCACCTAAGGCCCGGTTCAGACGCCGAACTTTTCATGGGCCGAAGCCAACACATTGAATTAAGTACATGAAAAGTTCGGCGTCTGAATCAATTGGGAACGCCTGTTTCAATTTGGAACGGCTCTTTTCTTTTTTGATCCAGTCGCCGAACGGTTTTTGGGGCGAAGCTAATGCATAAATTATTATAACGTACTTTGGAAGCAGTTTGACCGAAACGAGCATTTTTCGCCTTTTGAACTTAATTCAGCAGAAATTAAGATCGGTGTCCGAATCAATTCAGCCGGTCTAAATAATTTGGGTCGGCATTAACTCGAATTAGGTTCTGCTCATGAAAATTACGGCGTCCGAAGCGGGCTTAACAAACAGACCTTTTTAGCTGGCTTGTTTATGATTTCCTGAATTCGCCTTTTGCACATCTCCAACCTGTTTGGTGTGTTTGCCACCCAAAATTGTGCCTAGCTTTTGTTTTAGTCTGCCCTAAGTGTCGTCACGCAATGCTCCTCTCCAGGAGGTTTTGTTGGGAGGTGCGTTGCGTGACGACACTAAAAACAGCTGTGGTCCCAAGAGAAATCCAAGACAATGCTTATGCAAAACATTTGGTGGGGGGCTGGGGGGCGAACAAGGTGTATTATTATTAGAGATGAGAAAATGACGAATGATTTCAGATCATGTGGAGTTATCCCAGAGACCTGTTTCTTTCAACCGTCGATCTCTCCATGTGCGTATGTATGCGTAATTGATGTCAAGACAAAAGGCAAATTCCCTTGGGATCATCTCGTCACTCTTCTATTTTTATCCAAAGTGACAGAGTAAAGCATGCTGGGAAATGTGCTTACGAAATAAATGCGCAAAGTCAATGCGCAGGGGAGTCGCAGGGATTATCAAATTTCCCGCCAAAATGTTCATTCTTTGTCCTCCGGCAGGGCAACATGGCGATCATTGCAGGCGAGGTGAGATCTTCTTTATTTTTCCCTTTTTATCGTTTGCTAGTAGCTTATATGAATGGCTTTTAATCATTTGACGTTCATGCTTAAAGTCTGTATAGTAATCGCAGAGCACTTTCGAATGGGAGAAATTATTGATCAAGTCATTTTGAATTCCACATGCTTGAATCGCCAACACACAGTCGCCGTGTAAATTGACGCTTCAAAAATCCCTTGAATGAAAGTTTGAGCTCTCTGTGTTTATTGTCGATTTTTTATGCGAAATTCACAGCGAAGATGGTAGACGAAATGTACAGCAGGTGACCGTTCTAAAACAGTAAATTTCATCGCGGTTGCTGATTTCAACACGACGCTGGTTTGCGCCATCTTGCTTGCCCGGTCATATTATAAACACTTTGGCCAGTGGCCGAGCGCTTTAATTTTCAGGTCGTGTGACTGAAAAAAAAAAGTTGAAATCTTCATCATAATTTCTTTAAGATTTTTACGTAGTCTGCTATATTTTATATTATGGATATAAAAACAAACAGTGAGTGTGATAGAAAACAGTGTGAATTGGAAACTTGTTCATCAGTGTATGCGACCTTTAATGTTACCCTTGAATGGTTGTTTGTACTAGGAGAGGCTGCTCTCTGAGATCTGAATGACCAGGTCTATAGGGCGCATTTTTTTGACAGAAGATTGTTCTGAACTATTTCTGACAATTAATTAGTCTTTTATTTTGTCCAGTAAGTTTTGTTATAATACCCGTAAAATTCTGAAAATAAGCCCCGGGACTTATATTTTTCAAAGGCCCTTTTTCAGGGGCTTATTTTTGGAGGGGCTTATATTCGGAGGGGGCTTATCTACGGAGGGAAATTTGCATTTCAAAATCGATTGGGCTAGTGGTATAGTTAGAAGTAAATTTACTGTTTTTGCTTTGTTTTGCTTTGTGTTTGAGGGCAATTTTCCAATTACAAGCCCCTGGGGGGCTTATATTTGGAGGGGCAATTTAACGGAGGGTTTTTGCATTACTGGATTGGGGGGCTTATATTTGGAGGGGCTTATACATGGAGGGGCTTATTTTCGGAATTTTACGGTATGTTTTCATTGGCTATTGTAGAGTTGTACAGTCAAACCATGTTAATATGGACACTGAGGGGGCCATAGAATGTGTCCGTCTTAACTGGGTCTCCATATTAAGCAGATTGAATGTAGAGAAAATACAAGGGCTAGGGACAAGGAAAACTGTCCATATAAGGAGGTGTCGTCCATATTAAGTGGGTGTCTGTAAAGCGGGGTTTGACTGTAATTGTCAGAGACAAGAGCAGATGTATCTTTGGAAAGCATATATTGTTTTTTCTTTTTAATTTTGCAAACACACAAACAATTACAATACATTACATTTACAATTCATTACAGGTAACTGTCATGGAAAGCATACCGTAAAATTCCGAAAAAAAGCCCCGGGGCTTATATTTTTCAAAGGCTCTTTTTGAGGGGCTTATTTTTGGAGGGGCTTATATTCGGAGGGGCTTATCTATGGAGGGAAATTTGCGTTTCAAAATCGGATGGGCTAGCCTTATAGTTGGAAGTAAATATACCGTTTTTGCTTTGTTTTACTTTGTATTTGAGGGAAATTTTCCATGTACAAGCCCCTGGGGGGCATATATTTGGAGGGGCGATTTAACAGAGGGTTCTTTGCGTTACCGGTTTGGGGGGCTTATACACGGAGGGGCTTATTTTCAGAATTTTATGGTATTTTAGTTAGAATTATTACATGATATAAAGTTATTTATTTCCTTTGCATAAAACAATGTTTAGTATTAAATGAAAAAAAAAAAATGTTTAAAGTGAAAATATGCTGAATAATTTTAAATTTAAATCTTAAAATACTTGTTAGTAAAACGTGATTTGTTTAGTCATGGAAAACCCTGGACAGTCATGGAACTTATTATTTTTAAGTGCAGGTTAGGGAAAGTTATGAAAATTAGTAATGCTCCTGGTAGAAAACCATTGATGAAGCATGCTGTTTATGCCTCAGAGGTGAAAAAAGGTCAAAAATAGTTTTGAAAAGAACTGCTTCGAAAGGTTGTGGAAAGGTATGAAATTTTAACCCTTTCATTTGTAAAAGTGGCTGAAATGAAAATTCTCCCTAAACTCTAAATTTCTTTTTTGTAAAATCTTTGGAAACAAATAGGCATAGTACCGTGCAAAAATCCTGTGAAATGGTTGTGTATGAATGGTAATAACATAAGATTGTGCCTGCAACCAACTGGAGGGTCAGAATGACAAACCCTCTCACAGTAGCTTGGTTTTATTAAAAGTGTACAAACCCAGCTAATAGGGTCTTCTAAGTGGGAACATTTACAGCAAGGTGCATGGTAGCTGTGATTTTCAATCACCTGAAAAGTCTAGACAGTGATTAAACTCAGATTTTTTATATAATAATTGGGTGGATTTGTCCTGGGGCAGACTCTCCTATGAGAAAGATGGAATGCTTGTTGGAAAATTAGAAAACAAAAAACTCTAAAGGAGACCAATTTGGGTATGACTCAGGCTTTATTTGACCCGTAATGGAGACCTTAGTCCAACACAGGATGATATGGCATTTGTTATTCAAGAATTACCTGTAGCGATACCCTTATGGGTAAAATATTGGCTTTCCATCCGGATCACCGTAAATGGGACAATAATCTGGCATAATTATTTCTAGCTCTTGTAGACAAGGCAGGACAAGCATCCACATCATTTGCATGTGGAAGTCCTTTCCCATTTTAATCTTTACATTATAATATTTGCACGACTCAAAATTATTTTTTTTGGATAAGTAACCCTTTGGGTTAGTGCTCTTAAATTTTGCCAACCAAATTATAAAGTTTATTATCCAAGAATCTGATCTTGAAATAACAATATTTTGAATATTGAAAGTAGTGCTAATAAATGGGCAAACTAATGGATGGATGGATTGGTTCAAAATGAAATATATGGAAGATTTAATACTCATTTACAGTTTCCTTTCAATTACATTACATGAGGGCGGGGAAATTCACCATAAATACTGCAAAACGTTGTTTGTTCAGACTCACCAAACTGCAGCCAGGTGAAAGCCTTTTTTGATTTTTGGTGGAAAGTTTTCTTTCTTCATACACCCTTTGTGCGAGAGCCATGTTTAGTGTTTGAAATTGTACTTCTTCCTTGTTGTTTTTCTCGATCTTCCAAGTCCTCTTCACAAAAAATTTAAGCGGTGACCTTTTCCTGAAAAAACTATTCGAGCATCTCTCTATCTGATCTGTGTAACAAATAGGTTGCATAGATGAGCCACTTGCAAATGATATATTAAGGCTGTGTCCAAATCTTCCCATCCAACAAAAGCCGAGTTACCTCGAGTTCTGTGAAATGCACATTTTTCATGTTGTTCAATAGTGCTGTAAGGATATCTTTTAGAACAATAAATTGAATGAGATAGAACACAAAAAGAAATGGGCAAGATTTTCAAGGACAGAAATTTTTACTGTTTCAGGGTTAGTTAGGCTCATTTTTAGTAACTGACTGTTAGCAACTACTAACCATTGGTTAGTAGTTCACAATTCATACCTCTTTTAAAACCTTTTTTGGCTGAATTTCACTTCAGCTCTCCATGCAGTGTAGTCCAGCAAGACTGCTAAGTGAACCTGATGTTATCCTGCCAGTTAAGTACCTGTTTGAAAGTGACCCTGAGCTATCCAAACAAGAGGTAAGTCTCACCCCTATTCTCCCATGAGCACCATTGCCTTTTGCAGATGTTCAGAGTGGAGTGCAGGTGAAAAATAGAGCGGGAGAAACTGAGGAGAGATTTGGGAGAGTGGTGAAGGCATGACTGTAGAACTTATTCAAAAGAGAAGCTGTAATGCTGTTTTCTCCAATCTATCCCAGCTTCCTTTTTTGCTCACTTTTTTGTCACCGGTGGTCCACCATCTGAATGGCTGGAACGGCTGTGAGTACCCAAAATACTGATGAAAGACAAATTGGAAACTCCATTTGATAAAATGCTTTTAATTAAGCCTCTTTCACCTGAGAAATGTAAGAATATGGCACAAGAAGTCTTGCAAACTTAAACTATAAGTATATTCGCCATTTTCCGCATCTGCTATAAAACACCTTGTTTGTCCCCCCAAAAATGTTTTTTATAACATATGTTTTTAAAATCCTCTGATTATTATTCTTCCCAAGAGAAATTCAAGGCAAAGCTTATTTAAAAAGTGGGACGCCAAACAATGTGTATTATGGAAAGATAGGCAAATGGTGAATGCAAGAACTGATGAAAAGGCTATCATCAAAAAAACAATCAGTTATTGACATGTTTAATACCACTTGAGAACTAAAATTGTGCAAGAATACCTGAATGAGTCTAGGTTCTCAAAAGTAAATGAGCTAATGTTGACTACTCAGCCTGCCAATTTCAAGGAAAACACCTAAGGAAAATTCATTCATTTGCATTACTATCCAATCGTGCCAGCTACCCCAGAAAAACTGCATTCCGTCTGCATTGTTATCCAACCCTGCTCAACACCCCAAGCAAAATTCCATTCCAGCTGCATTCTTTATCCAATCCTGCTTGACAACCCAAGAAAAATTCCATTCCACTGGCATTGTTATCCAGTCCTGGCAACACCCCAAGGAAAATTCCATTCCACCTGCATTCTTTGTCCAATCCTGTGTGACACTCCATGAAAAACTCCATTCCACCTGCCTTGTTATTTAATCCTGCTCTACTTTCGTAGGAAGATATTCCATTCCACCTGCCTTGTAATCTAGTTCTGCTCTGCATGTACACTCCAAGGAAAATTTAATTTTTCCACCTTCATTGTAATCTAATCCTGCTCTACCCTCCTTGGAAATTTCTATTCCTCTTGGATTGATATCTTATCAGCTCTCCATTCCACCTGCATTGTTATCCGCTCCTGCAGCAAGGCTTCATTTCTTCTGTTCTCCAGTGGTGCTCTGGCATTGGTTCCTCTGCAAAAGGCCAATGAACGGCTAGTTACAGATTCACTGTGATGTATTTCAAAGCTGGAATACATCTCATTGGCTCAGGGTTTTCCTTAGCCCATCAGACAGCACTTCCTCAAAAGATTGTCATCTAGTATACCGCATTAAATAGTCCAGTGGTCCATGTCAGTTATCTTGGAGGGTGTTGATGAGTACAAGATCATTATCTATGAACAACTGCAACACGATTTTTGCATTCAGGGTATTTTGTTTCAACTCCCAGGTGCTCACATCGGACATTCAGTGGTGTGCAATTCATGGTGCTGTGAGTCTAATTTCTGATATTGAAGGGGTGCATGCTGATCCAGAAAAGACAACAGCCTTTGACCCAATTTGAATTTTTCTGCAAAAATATTATAGCATTGTTACCAGGGGTTGGAAAGTATGGTAACTAGTTGAATGAATTTGTCTAACTACGTCACAAGGAAACTATGTGTCATTGGAAAGATATGCAGCAAATCGCCAATCAGTAGGTCAAATAGATCCCAGTCATACACTCATCATTGCAGCACGTGCATCATCAAAATGGACTTGGAGCAGTTCTCATTCAGACCCAGGCCAGCGAACAGTGCCTTTCTGTTTAGGGAAGTTCTGATACCTAGATAAACTGGGCAGTCATCGGAAAAATAATCACTTGTCTTAATCTCGGCATGTGATTTGGCTTAGAGAGTGTGTGCTTGGACTCAGCTTTACTCTGAAAGCAGTTTGCAAGCTTACCCTTGCACCACTTCTGACCACAACTAAACTGTTAAGGATGCCATTCCAGATACTACATGTGCTTCTATCTCAAAATGATGATGTATAATCCTACTGTACAAGCCCCTTGTAGATGTCAAACATCTGCTGCTGTAAGAAGTACATGCTTTAATCTAGGCATGTGATCAGTTTAGTGTGTCTGTGCTTAGACTCAGCATTACATTGAAAGCAGTATCATTTCTGACCACAACTGACCTGTTACTGTGCATGCTTCCACCTCAGAGTGATGTGTGTGACCCTACTGCTGCACTCTCATTTACCTGTTACCTAGAAATGCATTGAAAGGATCTATAAACTCTGAAATTATCTTTAATTAGAATGAAAGAAACTACCAACAGCAAAAAATATATATTTAAAACAAAAAAGTTCACTCTAGGTGGATCCTTGTCATACCTGCAGGATATGCCCTGTGAGGACAGTCTGCAAATGGAGGTTGATGAAGATGACATTGACATTGTCACATGTGAGGTGAGGGCACTTGTTTGTACAATTACTCTCTCTTGCCATTAACTTTGTAATGTAACAGTTATGTGCTCAGGACATTTGACTTAGAGCTTTTGTCTCAACATTGACACAAGTCATACTGCATATTTTGTACTCTGGACAGTATTTTATAGCTTTTCCTGTGGCAGTCGTGGTAAGGACGCCATTGTCCGTTGGCTACATTTATTGACACTCTAATAATGAGGGATATGGGAGCCTCAAATACTAGCGATCTCTTGGCAAGCATGAAAAACTGAGCAAACTGGACAGCCAGGCCACCCTTAATTATTATGACGATAATTATGCTGCTGCTGACGATGTTGTATTTACTTTATTGAGTTCAATAATCTTTGGCCTTTCCAGCTCTTAATCAGGGGATGTGAAATATTTTATTTACAAGAAAAATCTTCCTTTTTGAGCTATGAAAAAGGAAAGCAAAGGGGTTTTCATTTTTGCCCAAACCCTTATAAACAGTAACTGCATCTTTGAAAGTGTTTTTGTCCCATAATCTGGAATTGCTTTAAGAAAGACAGCAGGTATGCTTTTTACATGCATATAAATTTTATTTTGGCAACTTTGGAACCTTTAGGATAAAACAAGTGATCATTCAGATGATACTATTGATGGAGGTTACATTACGGGAAAGAGTTCACCAGATCCTGAGTTTTGCCAGGTAATAATTATGATTATTATAAAATTTTGTGTATCATACATTCAACAGAATATTATAGTTAACGTTTTCCTTAATCCATTTCAAGGCCTGTATTGAGTCAGAAAGAATGCTTTATTTTTTTTTGATCCTTGAAACTATTAGGAAATTCAAGATGGTTATACAAAATTTAATGATGACCATGAATTTTGCATCACTGAAAAGAGTGCACCTTGTCTTGATTCTTGCATGGTAAGATGGTACTTTAAAATTGTTTATAAATTAGAGGGTGTTTTAATTGTTTTAAATACAATTGAGTGGGTTTCAAATGTGAGGCATTGCTGGCTGGTTCTAAGATTTCAAGAAAATTGCCAAGGAGAAGGAAAGGGCGCAAAGAAAGTCAGTTTTACAGCTTGTCATTCAGGCAAGCTGCAGGTAGCGTGTACTAGTCCAAGGGTCATTTTAACTAGCTCTAATTTTTTTTTTAGATGAGCAGGATTGATTACAGTTCTTCTGTAAGTTGAATTCCCTATAATAGCTTCGCTTGCCTGTCTGGCAAGTTAAGAACAGAATTCACTAGCCCGATAGCAAAATCCACTAGTCCCGGGCTAACGGACACAAGTTTCTTTGCACGCTGTTGAGGTTGGCTTGTTCAAAGGGCAAGTACATGTACAAAATCTTTTTCAAGTCCTGGATATCCAACCAGTTTGATCATCAATTTGATTCCCATCATGGATTCTGACTTTTCTGATATTTTCTTTTTTCTTTTTTCTTCTGTGGGCTTTAATCTTTCCATAAGGTTTAATTTTGTTACATCCATAAAAATCATTTCCTTGATGTTTCTCATGCACTCATTTCCCAAATGATGACACCACCTAACTGAACAGTTTTATAATTTTTTTTGTTGTACAAGTACATTAATTTGTCCTTGAAAATACTTTACCTGACTTTTGAATATTCTTAATTCACTTCTAGGAAAGGGATGGACCAATAAGGGATTGTTCTCCCAACATTATAGTACCGGTAACTACTCCAAATTCCTCTGAGGTAATGAACTGTCAGGGAATATAATCAATTGCCTTTGTTTCTTCTGTGAAGAATTTTTATTGGCCATTTATAATAGCGAAATTGAGACTGTGGTAATTTCTTATCACACTTTCCTATGCTTCAAAAACAATCTATTTTTTTTAGATTTCTACCAAAATAGCTATTAGTATCATTTGGTCCCTTTTTAGTACTCTTCGAAAAACAGAATTTTGCTGCAGACAATTCAGAATGGTCCATGATGTAGAAAATCTGCTAAACAATACTGTATTTCTACCAGACTTTGGCTGGATGTTTGCTATTAATCTTGAGTTGACCAGAGCCCAGTATAGCTGTAGACGTATACATCCTCTGGGCTAAGGGGGGCTGACGAGGAGAGTTCTTTTGAGTGATTAGACCCAAAAACTAAGACTTTCCCTCTCTTTTTAAAGGACATTGTAGAGACTCCATTGCCACCTAAAGTTGTAAATGGCTCACTCAAACGAAAGTCAGAAATGAAGGAACTCAAAATTCCTTTGAAGGTAAGTTAATATTATTAGAGTAATATCAACTTGTGAGCATATGGAAAACTAATCTTTTCTCCAAGAGGATTTGTTTATATAATATAGTAACGAATTAAACTCTATTTCACTTTTGAATCTGGCAATCACAAAGTTGGTTGTGTCATAAAGACTTAAACATGGATCTTAAAGGACCTTGATGCTGCAGACCCCTGTCTCTTTCAGATTTTGATACCATGCTGGAACCAGTAGGGTGCAGAATGTCATTCTTGGCAAGGGGGTTCCATCTTCACCTATATCTAAGTTAAAGAAATTTCAGTCAAGGAGGATAGAACCACTTATTATCACTTGCCCATGACTTTGCAAGGACACTTTCACAGCCATTGTTATCAAACTTAAACAAGTTACCCACTTCTGCCTCTTCCCAAACACTACCCAAATCTGCAACACCAACACTGTGACTAATGCTTCGGCATTTGTTGAAACTAAGAGTCTTAAAAACCAGCTTCATAAGAGCTGGGGATTTGCAAGCAAATCCTGAGCTAAACAGTCCTTTGGTTAAGAGTCTTTGACCTAAAACTGAAGTAATAATAGTGTTTCATTTCTGTTTTTCCAACCTTGTGACAGCAGATTTTATTACTTGGAAACGTTTCAGTGTTGACTACCAGTTTCTGTTTTTTTTTCTCTATCTCCCTGGGTGACTTCCTACCTTAATGATAATGCTAAGCATTAATTCAATAGCATCATTGTTTCCCTTCTAGATTCTATGGTCATTAGCAACCTTTTGTGCTTTTGCATTCTGTTTATTCCCAGAAACTGAGAGTTACTACAAATTGTGTTAATAAGAAACTGGAACTTGAAGAAGATGAGTACATCTGTAAGTTATCAACAGTCATTGTTTCTTTTGATAGTGAAGCACAAAAATTTGTTGGCAATATCATAAACTGCAAATTTGTTGATGGGCTCATCACTTTCTCTCATAAAGTAGGCTGACACTGATTCCATTCCAAAACGAAATCAATGGTTTGAAAGTCTAACGAACACGCTGACAACAGGTTTCCTCCAGATTTGGGCACATAGGTCAGTCAAGTGTGACTACAAAAAGGAATATAACCATTTGATGTAAAATACCAGCAGATGCCGATTTAGGTGAACATTTTGGCCCTCTGTTATCTGTTATTAGAGGTCAGTAATGAACGATGTACCACCCACTGGCACAAAGTTAAAAAAACTTCCAAAGTGGTCAGTGTTTTGCAGGTCACTTGCAGAATTGCCTACGGCACTTGCTCTGGACATGTTTGTACATATTCAAAGCAAGTCATTTATTGCAATAGAGAAGGTGGTAAGTTAAACGCTGATAATTGCAAATAAAACTCCGACGTTTTGGCAATGCTGCCTTATGGGAGTTCTTTATAGCGTAAAATTTGAAAATGCGCGCGTAAAAACAAGCGAGTGTGCGCGTGCGCAAGTCTCGTGAAAGAGAAATCTTGATTGAGTCCACCTGGCGCGAGGGTGTCAAAATTGTGAATAAAGCGCATCGCCTCGCGTCTTCTCTTGTCTTTTTCGCGTAGACCAGCTCTAATCACGGATACTTGCATGTCCTCCAGCTGGTGGCCATTCCCATAAAATGGGCAGGCACCGGCAGGGCCACTTTCTTCTTAATAACGTCCAAACGGTGCTCCCGAAAACGGTCGCCAAGCCTACGGCCTGTCTCTCCTATGTAAACTACCCCAGGGCATTTGCGGCACGAAATACAATAGATCAGTTGGCTGGAGATGCATGTAAAAAACCCTGAGATTTTGATCTGCCCTTGTGTAGTGGTAATTCGGTCAGAGGAGTTAATGAAGGGACAGGTCCGGCAGTCACGTCTATTACAAGGAAAAGTGCCTCTCTGACGTTGGAGAACCTGCGGTAAGGAGCTATGAACGAGAAGATCTTTCAGGTTTTTAGCGCGACGGAAGGCTTTAAGCGGCGGTTTGTCAAATGTGACCTTGATGCTATCGTCATCCTGTAGACTGGTATAATTTCGCAGTAGGATATTACAGACGGCGATGTTCTTAGGATAGTATGTAATGACCAGTGGGGATCGGTCGGCCGCAGTGCAGTTACTACCGTGGCTGGTGACTAATAGGTCAGCCCTCTGTCTTTCTTCCGCTCGGAGACGTGCTCTTGAAATTAGGTCATGGGGGTAACCACGTGCAGCAAAAAAGGTCTCCATGGTTGTGGCCTCACTTTGAAAAACGTCGTCTTCACTGCAGATCTTTCGCAGCCGTAGAAACTGAGTATGTGGTATGGACAATTTACACTTGGATGGATGTGACGACCCGAAGTTCAGATATGAATGGCTGTCAGTGTCTTTGTAATAAATCGATGTCGATAGGCGGTCGTCACAGGGTGTCATAAAAATGTTTAGGAACGGGAGTTTGTCAGATGAGATAGACCACGTGTAGACATGCTTAGGATGGTACTTCGAAGCAAAGTCAAGACACTGCTGTAGGTCTTGTTCACTGCCCGAGGCTGCGCCCGCTACGTCGTCCATGTATCTCTTATACAAATCAGGCTTCCTACCAGTGTTTTCGGCTAGCATCCTCTCTTCAACATAGCCAACGAAGAGACATGCGTAGTTTGGCCCTAATCTGCTACCCATTGCCACGCCGCCTAGTTATTTGTAATATTCGCCTTTGAACTCAAAGGTGTTGAGGGTCAGCACCAATTCAGCCATGCGAACAAGAGTATCAGTTGGTGGGTCTTTGACCTCCCTCTTGTCCAGGAAATATTTCAGCGACACCAGACCTTCTTCATTGGGAATGACTGTATACAGTGATTTGATGTCCATTGTGTCTTTCACGTGACTCTCCAGGCCGCGTACGAAGGGAGCTGTTACCTTGTCGAGATATAAAGCTAATTTCTCTGTAGGACATGCGTAAGCGGAGACAGTTGGCCGCCCAGGGTTGCCAGGTTTGTGTATCTTAGCCAACAAATAAAATTTAGAAGTACGAGGACATTCAGCAACAAGGCTAGTTGCTGATGGTGGAAGTTGTTTGAACGGACCAAAACCCTGCGTTCCCCGGTAGCATCCTCGGCTATTTGCTGGTAAAACCGTTCGTCGGATAGCTTTTTTTAAAGCCTCAGTCAAGTAGAGGTCTTTACTCCAAACTACAAAAGCCCAACCTTTGTCGGCAGGTCGGAATATAACGTCGGTTCTACTTCGCAGTCTCCGTAAGGTCTCTTGTTCTCCCGGAGTAAGGTTGCACCGCGTAGGTTTTCGTTTGAAGACTCGTTGGTTTCCTTCCCTGCAAAATTTGTCAATATAGTGGTCCAAGGCTGACAACTGACTTGGTTGAGGAGTCCACTTACTCCGCTTGGGTTTTAAGGATTCGAAAATATCATCATTAGGTCTGCTTGGTTGGTCAGTTTCGTTAATGGAGTCACCATCAGGACCAGAGGAAACGCCATCACAGCGGTATGAAAGATTGTCATTCGTGACTTCACTTGGGGCGTCACTACCGGTCGTAACTCTGGATGAGTGAAATGCGCTTTAAGGCGTAGGCATCTGAATAATTTCTCAGTATCTTCTTTAGAAGTGAATTCATCCGTAGTGGGCGTTGTGGGTATAAAATTTGTCCCCTTTGCCAGCAGAGATCTTTCGTCCTCATCCAAAGGAAGATCTTCAGGTATTCCAACTACCAATCAAACTGTGCTCTGGCTGTTGTCTTGTAAAACGGTATTCATAGTTTTTTTGTGACGTGTATAACGGGCTGGTTGGGTTGTTGCTAAACGTGAGAACTTTTCCTCTTTGATGGCAGATATTTGATCATATAAACGTCTAGTAAGTCTTTGAATCAAATACGTTAAACGTGAATATGATCTAGTATCGCAAAGTGAGGTAAGGTCATTACGACAATTCTGAATGTCAACAGAGAGATTGTAGCAAAGATGTTTCATTGATGTTATCGTCAGACGCATAAGACAGCAAGAAGAAGCGAAGATAAAGGCTCTTACTTGACACCCTCGCGCCAGGTGGACTCAATCAAGATTTCTCTTTCACGCGACTTGCGCGCGTGCACACTCGCTTATTTTTACGCGCGCATTTTCAAATTTTCAAATTTTCCGCTATAACGAACTCGCATATTTTCCCTGATGAAGGCAGCATTGCCGAAACGTCGGAGTTTTATTTGCAATTATCAGCGTTTAACTTACCACCTTCCCACTTTTAACACACACAAACGCTACGCAGGAACCCCCTTTATATGTACTAAAACAGAACCTTGCCATGGCTGTTTTGGACTGAGCATGGCCTTGCAGGCCCATTTCGCATGCAACCAAAAACAAACCAATTCTTGATAATAACATATTTTCTTGCAGTCTGTAGCAAATGCGACAAACTGCAAATAGGTGCTTGCTCAATTCACTCTGCTCTGCAATGGATGAAGGAGAATTCAAATGTTGTGATGTCAGAAGGGTTGACAAAAGCAAGAGCTACAATTCCCAAAAACATGGAATTGAAATCTTCTAGTATTCCAGGTAAAAGCTTGCTTTTAGTTTTGTCTTTGTTGGCTTATATGCGTTAAATCTAAAATGCAGGGCATTTTGAGAGTGGCTAAATGTCAGATGAAATCTAACTTTGTGGTCTGAGACGACAACTGGAACAGGCTCTCACAACATTCAGAAAGAGGCTCTCCTTTTGATGGTGAAAAATTACAGATTATTCACAGAAGAAAACCTCAGCGTATTGTATACCCGACGTTACCGTTTCTGTTGTAGAATGCGCATTAACCTGTCAAGTGTGCTCGAAACAGAACTGTTAATCATTATCTGGTTCGTTTTTTAGATGCTGGCCTGGGAATTTTTGCCTTGGAGAGGTTTGAAAGTGATGTAGTGTTTGGCCCGTATTGGGGTGAAAAGATAGACGTGGCAAATGTAACACCTAACATGGATCAGGGCTACATGTGGGATGTAAGAGGCTTATTATTGTCGTTAAAGTTGTCCCTTCATGCAAAAGTTCATTTTCCCGCTAGATGTACCTTTCCATGATATTTGTCACAAGCGTAAACCTCTCATTTTGGACATTTCCTTGATGATGAAGGCTATTTACGTCATGTTATGATATCCCGGTCGGTTAGTGAAAACCAGAAGACACCAAAACTGGTAGTTCATTGAATGCACGAATGTAATTTCTTACTGTTTTCAAACCACGGTTTAAAGTGCGTAAAAAGATAGGGAAGCATACGATCCACTAGCCTAGTACTATCCGTCACTACAGGTACCTCCTATAAGCACCTTTGTATCGAGAGAGAGAGCGAGTCAATGGGCCTTTTTTCTTGTTTCCAATCTACTAGCTGTGTTTCTCTGTTAAAGAGAATAATGATTTTTTTAGTAGAAGGTGACATCCTTTTTTGGTTTACAGCTGTACATCAATACTGTTCGTTTTCCCTTCTTTATTTACAGATAATTGAACGTGGACGTGTCACCCAAGTTGTTGATGCTCGGGACGAGAGTCACAGTAATTGGCTGCGTTTCGTCAACTGTGCTCGCAATGAAGATGAACAAAATCTAGTGGCTTTTCAGTATAGAGGTGATATTTACTACCGCGCGTACAAGGTGATCGAACCGGGTATGGAGCTCCTTGTGTGGTATGGAGATAGATACGCCTGTGACTTGGATATCCTGAACAAAGAAAAGAAACCCGCAGGTCTGTGTCTGAGAAAAGTTAATGTTAATAACCAAATGAAAGATCAGCAAGTTGGCGTAATGGGCTTAACTCTGTTGCTACTAAATTTCTGCAAACCATGCGTTAAACGACGTCAAAATTTGCTCATTACTTATAGATGTTGTCTTTTTTTTTGCCCATGAAAGGCTTACCTCTACTGACTGTAAACGTGAACAGGCATTGGCGCATGCTTTGCTAGTTTAAGGCTGGCTTGACAGTGACTGCATGTCCAAACTGAAGCTTTTTTTTAAAAAAAAAAACATCACTCTCATTACTCTCCAAGCTAACGTTTATTATCACATTTACATCACTGCTGATTTGCCAACTATATACTTCCCAGTACTAGGATTTATGCTGCATGTTCGATACGTGAACGGTGTTTAAAGGCCTTCCCCGCGTATCTTCTGTGCCTTATCGGTAGAGCATGGAGGCACGTAATCAGAGGGCCAGGAGATCGGTTCCATACCTGTCGGCCTAGGCTTAATCCTAACAGTAACTTAAGAACACCTTTCTTACGTTTTAGATGGTCCTGTACAATGTCAGAAGTGTTTCATGATCTGCTCAGGGCCTAGTTCGCTGGCCAGTCACAACAAATTCCGTTGCCAGATGAGCAGTGAACATCACCTTTGGCGCTGCATGCACTGTGACAGAAGCTTTAAGACACCAAGTTCGCTTCATTTTCACAAGAACATTCATAAAGGCATAAAACCTTTCTCATGTAAACTTTGTGGTGCGGTTTTCTCGTTCCCTGCGTCCCGAAAAAGGCACTACGCTCAACAGCACGGGCAGTGGGAGGCTCTCAGTTGCAAGCCATGTGACAAAGTTTTTGCAAATAAGAATGCCCTCGACGCACACGAAAAGAATTATCATAATCCAGGTGATTACAAATGCCAAGCCTGTGGCGAGTGTTTTACCTCTGGGATTAGTTTATCCAACCACAAAAGAGCACATGAAAGATCAGAAGCGCAGAATGTTTGTTCGATTTGCAAGAAGAGATTCGCTCATTCCTCCACCCTTGCGAAGCACTTACGAGAGAAGCACCCAAGGGTAAAGATTTATAGATGTGGAAAATGTGGAAAGTTTTGTTCAGATAAACGCCGCTTAGCACTACACTTTGCCGTCAAGCACTCGACAAAACATGGCAACAGATTTTTCTTCAGTGATGACCGCCAGGCAGTACCCTTACGTGGGAATTCGTCGGTGAAACAGAAAAGCGCGGTGAAATGCGAATTTTGTTTGAAAGCTTTTCCTACTTTAGCTCTTATGAATCGTCATAGAGCTGCCCATTTTAGAACCAAAAATCCAACATTGCCCGTTGCTACTTATGACCATCACGCGGTGCCATCAAGTGAAAGTCGTGACATTAACGGGCACAGCAGTAAGGACCTAAAATGTAAAATGGGAAACTTTGCTTGCAACGTTTGCGGCAAGTCATTTCGAAAGAAGCTGTCTTTAAACGCACACAAAGCTTCCCATTCTAGAACGAGACGTCCAGCATTGTCCGCTGCTACTTATGTCCAACCCGCAGTGCCATCAAGTAAAAGTCGTGACATTAACGGGCACAACGGTAAAACCTTAAAACGTAAAATGGGAAAATTTGCTTGCAACGTCTGCGGCAAGTCATTTCAAAAGAAGCCGTCTTTAAACGCACACAAGAGCCATCACAGTTTTAAACGGATAGCATCTCCATTGAGTGATTCTCGCAGTGGCATTCATTCACGAAAGTGCATCAGAACGTTTAGTTGCAACGGGCATAACAGTAAAGACCTACGAAAAAGTAAAATGGGGAAATTTGCTTGCAACGTCTGCGGCAAGTCATTTCAAAAGAAGCTGTCTTTAAAGGCACACAGAGCTTCCCATTCTAGAACGAGGCATCCAACATTGCCCGCTGCAACTCATGTCCAACCCACAGTGCCATCAAGTGAAAGTCGTGACATTAACGGGCACAACGGTAAAACCTTAAAACGTAAAATGGGAAAATTTGCTTGCAACGTCTGCGGCAAGACATTTCAAAAGAAGCCGTCTTTAAACGCACACAAGAGCCATCACAGTTTTAAACGGAGAACATCTCCATTGAGTGATTCTCGCAGTGGCATTCATTCACGAAAGTGCATCAGAACTTTTAGTTGTAACAAGTGCACTAAGTCATTCCTCACGGAGAGATCACTGCGATCACACAAGACCCACCATAGTAGATTCAATAACACATCACCAGATCCTGCCACTAAAGAACAGAATGGTGTTAGAGGATTGAACACCCGCAAGGAACACCTTCTGACAAGTTCCTTGTTGAGAAAACAATCAAACGCGAGTACTTTTCCAACGAGTAAACCAAGAGTATTCATATGTGGGGTTTGTGGAAAGAAATTTCTTGACAAAAAAAATCTTCATCGTCACAAGGGACATCATTCCAGGGGAAGTTCTATCCTCAATCCAAAGTTGTCAAACACTTACGAATGCAGTACTTGCTTGGAGTTTTTTCACTCGAGAAGTTCCCTCAAATGTCACAAGAATCGTTTGCACGAAGCAGTAGATGCTGCATCCTTTGTTTGTCCTTTCTGTGACTTGAGATTTTCATCTAGGGAAGATCTTTGGATGCATAAGCAAGACCTACACAGCACGGCAGACCCTTTCACTTGTATCCGCTGTGATGGTCGGTTTGGAACAAAACGCACTCGTGATCGTCATGTATGCCCTGGAAAGGAAAACTGCGACAAGGAGACCTCGGTGAAACAAAAGGCTACTGTCGAGTCGAAGTCAGCTCTTGATTCAGGTCGTCAAGAAACTCATGAATGTAAGACATGCCTACAGACGTTTCCATCCACACGCTCCTTGAGTAACCACAAGCGTTCTCATGCGGGTGTAACTAGTCCTTGTGTATGTTCCATCTGTCACAAGGGGCTTTCCTCTAAAAGGAGTTTGCTGAGACACAAACAAAGTCAACACAGTTCGACCAATTTTTTAGTTGAAAACAAATTACGTTCCATAGGTGAAGGCATTAAACATAACAGCAACAGTGAAGTGAACACGTGTTGCAAAACAACAGAGCGTTTCCGTAGCGCCGAAGCATTGTCCGGTACTCGCGATTGTATAGAGCACAGTGCCTCGAAGCAAGGCGTTGGACAATCGTCAGAGAAAACGGCTTCGCCACCCAAGAAAACTCAACCATCAAGAAATAACGAACAAAGCTTGGAGCCAAACGGAGAAGGCACCGTGGGCTTATGGAATTGCCTTTACTGCGAAAAGCAATTTAAAAGTGACAATGTCTTGCGAAGACACTCCAGGGAACAACACGGTACGACAAAATGGATAGAGTATGAAAAGGAGGCTGCCCGATCTTTCAAGTGCCCGTATTGTGTCGAAGAATTTAAAAGTCTCTCTGGAAAACATCAGCACGTTAAGGAAAAGCACCACACTTGTAACTATCCACCTTTTTCGTCTGGAAGCCAAAGCACTCGTCCACATTTTGGCCCATACAGCAAAGAATATCCAGCAAAGATGCCGTTCAGCTGGGATACTAGCCGACCAATGAATTCAAGCGAAACAGCAACGAAGGGAGCATTGAAATGTCAATATTGTGTCAAAGGTTTCTTCAACGCAAGTAGTCGCTACAAGCACATCGTGATTGTTCACAGTGGCCGGTTTGGAACAAAACGCACTCATGATCGTCATGTATGCCCAGGAGAGAAAAACCGCGACAAGGAAACCTCGTTGAAACAGAAGACAACTGTCGAGTCGAAGCCAGCTCTTGATTCAGGTCGTCAAGAAACTCATGAATGTAAGACATGCTTACAGACGTTTCCATCCACACGCTCCTTGAGTAACCACAGGCGTTCTCATGCGGGTGTAACTAGTCCTTGTGTATGTTCCATCTGTCACAAGGGGCTTTCCTCTAAAAGGAGTTTGCTGAGACACAAGCAAAGTCAACACAGTTCAACCAATCGTTTTGTTGAAGACAAATTACGTTCCATAGGTGAAGGCATTAAACATAACAGCAACAGTGAAATGAACACGTGTTGCAAAACAACAGAGCGTTTCCGTACCGCCGAAGCATTGTCCGGTACTTGCGATTGTATACAGCTCCGTGCGTCAAAGCAAGGCGATGAAGAATCGTCACAGAAAACGACTTCGCCACCCAAGAAAACTCAACCGTCAAGAAATAACGAACAAAGCTTGGAGCCAAACGGAGAAGGCATCGTGGGCTTATGGAATTGCCTTTACTGTGAAAAGCAATTTAAAAGTGACAGTGGCTTGCGAAGACACTCCAGGGAAAAACACCGTAGGAAAAAGTGGAAAGAGTATGAAAAGGAGGCTGCCCGACCTTTCAAACGCTCGTATTGTGACGAAGAATTTAAAAGTCTCACTGGAAAACAGATGATGTCTCCTGCCGAAGAGATGGGGTCAAAATCTTCTGATCAATCGCTAGAACTGGAAAATGCCGTTGGCCAGACCGTTGAGAGTGACGTCCCTTTTGGCTGCTTTAGGCCGGTTTCAACCTCTGCTTCACAGCCATCCACTAAACTGAAAGCATTTCAGTGCGATTACTGTTCAAAGCGGTTCCATACGTGCAGTGTAATGTACAAGCACTACCTTCTTGTTCATTCCAGGTTTGGTAATTTGGGAGAACATGATTTTGTTCGACCAATGGCGTGCCCGACCAAGAAGCCATCGCACCCGCCAGTACCCATCCCTACGGGTACGATAAACCCAAAGGATAGTGACCTAGTTTCACAAGGCTATGCAGGTGGTCTGGGACATAGTCCTCTTCATGTCAACTTCCCAGATATAGTATCTACTACTGAGGAAGACATGGATTCGTTCGCATGCAGAATTTGTGCCAAGCTCTTCCAGACCAAAATTGACTGGACCGCTCACGTCAATGACGAACACAATGGTGTTGAACGAGTGCCACGTGGGATCTGTAATCCTTCAAGACCAGTTTTAAGACCAATTTCGGTTTCTTTCGAAAACAATAGCGTGCGACTACCGAGAAAGAGAGGGGTCACTTGCAGACAAATCAGCAATGACAAAGAAGTGTGTGCGAAGAACATGGCCACACCCAATCACGTCGTGTGTCTTCCCACAATGCCGGCTATCTCTAACACGTTGCAATGCGACATTTGTTTTCTCTTTTTCAGTAGAAAGGACTGTGTTTCACGTCACAAGAAGAGCAAGCATTGCGATGACACACCATTTCAATGTAATAATTGCGGGTATGCTTCCAAAAGAAATGACCATATGGTATATCATTAATGCGACAGAAGAAATTAAGATAAACCTTGGCGTGGTTGAAACGTATTCGCAATTTAGGATTCCGTTTGAATGTCATATGAAGAGGTCAATTTAATTTTAAAAATGTAACCTTAGCGTTATTGATTGCCATCGGTCTATTGCTCCAAATTTCTCATCCATGGTGCACTGATACCTTGTAGTTGTTCCCAATTTTTTAGAATATTAGAGCGCATTATTTTGGTTTTGCACTTCTCCGGCTTGTAAAGCCTTTGATGCACCAGATATTGATTCATCAGCTTGGGTTTCCCCGCCTACGTGAAGAAATTTCCTCCAATTTTTGTTGGTCCGTCTCTTTTTCTCTTTGGTTGGTCTGGGGTTTTACTCTGACTTTGGTTTACGAAGGTCAAGGGAAACCTACTTCAGTAGACCATTTGACAGTTGTGTGCTTAGTGCCCTGGCCTTTTAATAGAAGCGAGGCTGGAAGTTGCCCTGTTATGTTACAAACCTCCTGCTCTTCATTTGCAAATCGTGTTACAGTGTATTTTCATGCTGACGCGCCCGTTAACATTAAACACCTTTGACTGGTCCCGAGGGAAACAAAATTTAACTGTTTCCCGAGGGACTAGTCTTCAAGTAATTGGTTATATTGCTGGAAATTTTGAAGCGGGAAAGTCATTAAACCGCACTAAAACGGCGGTCGTTACCCTCTGAAGTCATAGATTTTCAATTTCGCCCTCTAAGAGATTTTGGCGGGAAACAGTTTCATTGTTAGATGGTATGTGACCTCGAAGTAGCCAATGAGAGCGCGCGCTGTTGGGAAGAAATTTCCAGCTTTTTACATGTGAAAATCAGGAAGGTAACAAAACAAGGTCACCTTTACTCTCGCTTCTATTCAAAGGGCAGGGCACTAAGCAGACAACTGTAAAATGGCCTATTCTTGAAGTGTAAATGCAATTCTACTCTTTTTTTCCTACAAAAAAGGTGATGGAAGTTTAAAATTTTCGTTCTAGACTTGTCTAACTTATATTCGTTTACCAAATAGCAGATGAAGTTACTTATATCAAAATTTATCCTTGTATTAAAGAGCTTGGTTTTAAAAGGTCGATATTTTCGAGATCTAATAGAAACGATTGTTATTATTTTAAGATAACAGATTTTAACTGAAGATATTTCAGAAGTTATTATACACAAAGTTTAGGCTATGAAATAAACATCCTAAATGGAGGCTATGTTGCTCTGGTAATTTTTTCCGCTAGCATGTGTTAGGATCTGAAACATACTTTCTTAAAATAGTAAGCATTCTATCGCCAAAAAGTACGATTTCCGTCTGATACCCCAGGAGGACTGGAAATACCTTGTGCCAAACCCCTTCGAAGCTTATGTTTTGTGAGTTGCGGCTTATATGGTTTTCCCTTCTGCCTTGGCTAGGTAATAAAACCGAACGAAACGGCAAAGTTGTATTACTTTGAATCGACTATGAAGAACACCAGTGTGCAGCACAATAGAGGACAGTCCGTAGAAAATTGACAAATCATGGGATTTCTTACTACGAAGTAATATATCAAACATGAGACGCAGTGTTTCATCACCAGATGAAACACCGAGAAGAGAGTTGAAAATACGACGCGTAGCGGAGTATTTTTGACGAACTTCGAGGTGTTTCATCTGGTGATGAAACACTGTGTCGAATGTTTGATATTTCTTCTCAAACAAAATCATTTTTGAAGGAGAAATTAAGGATGCAAAAATGAGCAGTTTTTCATCCGATATCCAAACAACTCATTAAACATTAATTTCCTTTGAATTTTCTTTATGAATTATTAATGAGTTTGAGAAATATATATCTAAAAGGAATGCATCTGCGTTGAATTAGAGCTGATTCGAGAAGAAATGCCATGTTAAAGCAAAAAGGTGTTATCGACTGCGGCCACTTCATCCTTGTTTGAACAGAGTTTGATCAGTGCAACGGAAAAAGAAACCATGAAGGTAACTCTAGGCTACTTAGGTCCAGTGGGTATTGCGTATAAGCCCGTCCTCATCTTATTTCATGTTTATCGAACACCCGTGATCATTTTATTGCCGTGGGCCCAAGTTTGGAATTTTCCAGATTAAGGGAAACACGTTTATGGAATACGGAAATCCATTCAGACGTTTCAGCCTGGAAAACAGCTAGGACTATGAGTGCTTTCCATTTGATACCAAGAGTTTTTTCTGGCGTTCCACTGGGAAACTTACAACGAATAACTTTGACATATGAAAAATTCCGTTTCTAAAATATTGTCCAGGCCCTGGTTGTTCAAACGTGTAACGCCATCCACCGGATAAATCACTATCCANTTATGAGTCAATCTCTATACACAGTTCTTGAGTATACTACACAAGTGACCATATCTCTTCTATATATTCTTAATATCACTTATATTCTATTTTTGTTTTTTTTTTTTTAAAAACAAAAAGATAAAAACAAAAACCAGAAGCGACCGGGGGGGGGGGGGGGGGGGGGTGCGCACCCCCTGCATCCTACCCTTAGATCCGCCCCTGCTTTTAGGCAACAAATTGCCTTATCCACTGGGTAAAGATTTATCTGTTGGATAGCGTTATCCACCTTTCGAACAACTGGGCTGAGGAGGGTACTTCCATCTCCAAGCCAAAAAGGTTCGGAAATCCCACGAGCACTCCGTGTTTTCCTGGGGTTCAGACCCGAAGACCCCAATCTCAATCTGCACCGTTCTAAACCTCTCATTTCATTGGTCCCCTTTAATCTGCACTTCCATTGTTTTCAGGGATAAGAGCATTATTGTGTCACAATCCGTATTAGTAGGTTATACAGACAGTCTCCTCTCTTTACTCTTCATTGAGGATCCCCGTACTGCAGGTCAAAATTTAATGACAGATGCATTTAAATGATGCCACTCCGTTATTATGGTCCCATGGTGTTAGTTGTTTTCAATCGTGTTTTTTTTTCTTCCTTGACAATTTGTCCCTTGGCAGTACCAGACCCTGCAAGAAACGTTAACTTTTCTTCGCTGGGGTCAAACACGCGCGCTGGGTTCTAACGACGAAATTAAATGTTTACTCAGCAGAGCCTTTCTTTAGCTTATTCTATTTTGGCGTACCGTAAATGACCTAAAACGCCAGGGCCGTCTAATTATTTTTAGGGGTCTAAGCAGGAGCGTTTAATAGATAGGAGGCCTTTATAAGAGGAGGCGTTTATTCTCATAACTGTGACAAGCTCAACAAAACTAATATGCTTTCGCCAAAAATATCAGGAGAGTTTAAAAATAGCGGAATATCCACTCCATCAATAGGCCATTTGCACTAAGAGGAATGTGACATCGCCTTTATGAAAATAAAAGTTATATGATTTTGCCTTCGAAAAACGATTAGTGGGTCATATCTTAAACAAAATAATGGTGATTTGGTTTTTCAAACCCGCACCATTTTCTTTAAATGAATAAGATCGTAAATGGTCACGTGACCAAAATGTGATTTTTAAAATTATGAATTACCTCTCTCTGAACACAAATTTTCCACTTAAACTTCAAGGAAAATGTTGAAAAGATGATGTGATAACGTTTACAGTACATCTGAGCGTAACTAAGAAACGTTGAACAAGATATAAGTAAGAAGTAGTTTTGGCCGCCATGTTGGAGGGCAAAAGCATGCCCTCCAACATGGCGGCCAATACAAATCATACTACTTCCCTGAAAAATCAGACTGCCATAAAATATCTCCCTTAAATGCGTTTCCTCTCAAATTTCGGGTGTAAGATAATTTTTGTGTGCTCTAACAATTTTCGGCATCAGTAAGATTCCAATTCATTGTTTAAAGGAAGCATTGGTCACGTGACCTCTTAGTGCAAGTGGCCTATTGATACGTTTAGAACGTCTAGGGACCCAAAATCGATGTCAGAATCCTCGCTCAGGGTTATTGAGTTGTCGTCGTTAGTTTTTCCTTACTTTGAACTTGACATTAGGCAAGATCAAACACGCAAAGCCTTCTTTGGCAAGAAACTGAATTAATTGAATGATTTTACTTCTTTCTTTTGCTTCTCATGAGGGAGGGAGCATTCATTGGAGAGGGGTGTCTAATAGAACTTAAAAGGCGTAGCGGGGGCGTTAATTAGGTAAGAGGCCTATATTTGAAAGTGGTTACGGTATTCGACATTCTCGTCGACGCTGACTAAAAGGATCGAAGCTCTGGGAACGAGAATGCATTGGGTCCTCGAGAATTGAAAGACTGCATGAATCGAGTAAGATCTTTGTTGAGCATGTGTTGCATGTTGCTTGGATAGTGCTTCGAACCCATGCCAGGCCTGATATCCGTAAGCTTGGTACAGCGGGCTCCGTTCCTGGAGTTCTCAGGTTTTGATTTTAGGCATTGGCTTCAGATTCAGTGATCCTGATGATAAGATACAATGGTTTGCTATGGCGAATGGATGGTTTACGCTAACTTTGGCTTCAATCAACCTCGTCCCCAGCGCTTTTCCCGCAAAAAATGGGTGGGGCGGGAAAAGCCCTGGGGACGAGGTTGGGCTTCAATTTGTCCTTAACTTGATATTTGACGATTGGTGTTAACAAGCCACCCAAAATATCAAGTGCTTTTTGACGCATATTTCTAGAAGAATACGGTTTTCTGCGTTTTTGCTTCATTTGTTCCAATAGCCCTAGCCATAGTATTAGTAGGGTGTATTTGTTTATTTTGGAAAGTCAAAGATACCTTTCATGGTCTAAAAGTAGCTTCGGGAGGTTTCCTTACTTCGCCAAATCTTGATTTTTTTCTAGCCTTTTCATTTCTTAACCGTACCCATCCCTCCAGAAGTTCGTCTTTGAGTGACGCCCACAGATGGTTTACCATTTCCAAAACGTTTCCAGAAATTCCGTTGGCAAAGTAATGGAAACTCCGAAATTCGTGTCCCCCTTTTTCAAATCTTTTGTTGAATCAAGTTTCAGACTTTTGCGGCCATTATTCGGATACACTTAATGGGACTACTACAATTGGTAAACGTGATTTTCAAACAA